AAACCCACGGCCAGCCAGAGAGGGGTGGGGAGAGAAGGAAAGGGAGAGGGAGGGAGGAAGAAAGGAGAGAGGTCCTGGGCTCCCATAAGGGCCGCTCAGGGGACATCTAGGCTGTCCCGGTCTCTCCAGCTATGGCTCTCACGCTTGCGAGGCTGGCAGAACACCGAGGACATGTCCACAGAATGCAGGTAAGTTCGTTGCCGATAGCTGCCCACTGCTCCCCACGAGGGCTCCCTCTGAGGGAGGGCCCCGAGCCAGGTGGCTCCGGAGTGGTCCAGGTGCAGGGCGGGGCTGAGTGTTCCCAAGGAGGGAGGACCCTGTGGGGAGGGGAGGAGGACCCTGTGGGGAGAGGAGGGGAGGAGGACCCTGTGGGGAGGGGAGGAGGACCCTGTGGGGAGGGGAGGGGAGGGGAGGAGGACCCTGTGGGGAGGGGAGGAGGACCCTGTGGGGAGGGGTGGGGAGGGGAGGGAGGACCCTGTGGGGAGGGGAGGGGAGGGGAGGAGGACCCTGTGGGGAGGGGAGGGGAGGGGAGGGAGGAGGACCCTGTGGGGAGAGGAGGGGAGGGGAGGGGAGGAGGACCCTGTGGGGAGGGAGGGGAGAGGAGGGGAGGAGGACCCTGTGGGGAGGGGAGGGGAGAGGCGGAGGGGGAAAGGGAGGAGGCCCCTGTGGGGAGGGGAGGGGAGAAGGACTCTGTGGGGAGGAAAGGGGAGGGGAGGGGACGGGGAGGAGGACCCCTGTGGGGAGGGGCGGGGAGGGGAGGGAGGGGAACCTGTGGGTGCGGGGGGATGGGAGGGGAGGAGGGCCCTGTGGGGGGAGGGAGGGGAGGACGGACCCTTGTGGGAGGGGGGGGGGAGGAGGACCCTGTGGGGAGGGGAGGGGAGGAGGACCCTTGGGGGAGGGGAGGGGAGGGGAGGAGGACCCTGTGGGGAGGGGAGGGGAGGGGAGGAGGACCTGTGGGGAGGGGAGGGGAGGGGAGGTGAGGTGGACCCTGTGGGGAGAGGGTGGGGAGGGGAGGTGGACCCGTGTGTGGAAGGGGAGGGGGTGGAGGAGGACCCTGTGGGGAGGGGAGGGGAGGGGAGGAGGACCCTGTGGGGAGGGGAGGGGAGGGGAGGAGGACCCTGTGGGGAGGGGTGGGAGGAGGACCCTGTGGGGAGGGGATGGGTTGGGGAGGAGACCCTGTGGGGAGGGGTGGGGAGGGGAGGAGGACCTGTGGGGAGGGGAGGGGAGGGGAGGAGGACCCTTGGGGAGGGGAGGAGGACCCTGTGGGAGGGGAGGGGAGGGGATGGGGGGAGGAGGAGGAGGGGAGGGGAGGAGGACCCTGTGGGGGGTTGGGGAGGGGAGGAGGACCCTGTGGGGAGGGGAGGGGAGGGGATGGGAGGGGAGGAGGACCCTGTGGGGAGGGGAGGGGGAGGGGAGGAGGACCCTGTGGGGAGGGGTGGGGAGGGGAGGGAGGACCCTGTGTGGAGTGGAGGGGAGGGAGGAGGACCTGTGGGGAGGGGTGGGGAGGGGAGGAGGACCCTGTGGGGAGGGGTGGGGAGGGGGAGGAGGACCCCTGTGGGGAGGGGTGGGGAGGGGAGGCGGACCGTGTGGGGAGGGGGGGGAGGGACCCTGTGGGGGAGGGGAGGAGGGGAGGGGCGAGGACCTGTGGGAGGGGAGGGAGGGGGAGGAGGACCTTTGGGGAGGGAGGGAGGGGAGGAGGACCCTGTGGGGACGGGGTGGGGAGGGAGGAGGACCTGTGGGGAGGGGAGGGGAGGGGAGGAGGGACCTGTGGGGAGGGGTGGGAGGGAGGAGGACCCTGGGGGAGGGGTGGGGAGGGAGAGGACCCTGTGGGGAGGGGTGGGGAGGAGGACCCTGGGGGAGGGGGGAGGAGGACCGTGTGGGGAGGGGTGGGGAGGAGGACCCTGTGGGGAGGGGAGGGGAGGGGAGGAGGACCCTGTGGGAGGGGTGGGGAGGGGAGGATGACCCTGTGGGGAGGGGAGGGGAGGGGAGGAGGACCCTGTGGGGAGGGTGGGGAGGGGGGGAGGGCCCTGTGGGAGGGGTGGGGAGGGGAGGAGGACCCTGTGGGAGGGGTAGGGGAGGAGGACCTGTGGGAGGGGGGGAGGATGGATCCTGTGGGGAGGGGAGGGGGGGAGGAGGGACCCTGTTGCGAGGGGTTGGGAGGGGAGGGAGGACCCTGTGGGGAGGGGAGGGGAGGGGGAGGAGGACCTGTGGGGAGGGGAGGGGAGGGGAGGAGGACCTGTGGGGAGGGGAGGGGAGGGGAGGAGGACCCTGTGGGGAGGGGAGGAGGACCCTGTGGGAGGGGGGAGGGGAGGGAGGCGGACCCTGTGGGGAGGGGAGGGAGGGGAGGAGGACCCTGTGGGGAAGGGAGGGGAGGGGAGGAGGACCCTGTGGGGAGGGAGGGGAGGGGAGGAGGACACTGTGGGGAGGGGAGGAGAGGGGAGGGGTGGGGAGGGGAGGAGGACCGTGTGGGAGGGGTGGGGAAGGGAGGAGGACCCTGTGGGGAGGGGTGGGGAGGGGAGGAGGACCCTGTGGGGAGGGGTGGGGAGGGGAGGAGGACCCTGTGGGAGGGGAGGGGAGTGGAGGAGGACCCTGTGGGGAGGGGTGGGGAGGGGAGGAGGACCCTGTGGGGAGGGGAGGGGAGGGGGAGTAGGACCCTGTGGGGAGGGGTGGGGAGGGAGGGGAGGAGGAACCTGTGGGACGGGTTGGGAGGGGAGGAGGACCCTGTGGGGAGGGGAGGGGAGGAGGGACCCTGTGGGGAGGGAGGGGAGGGGAGGGGAGGAGGACCAGTGGTGGAGTGAGGGGAGGGAGGGGTGGAGGACCATGTCGGGAGGGGGAGAGGACGCTTCGGGGTCCTGGGCTGCTGGGAGGGCCAGGTGAGGAGAGGAAAAGGAACCCGGATGGGCTTGGAAAAGAAATTGGGGGGGGCGGTAATGGTGCTTGTGGAGGTGTGTGCAAGGCGACCCTCCCCTTCACCGCCTGTGAGCTCATCCCTGCCATCAGCTCATTCCTTCGCCTGGGGGCTCGGAGAGGAAGGCCCTTAGCGGGAGCATCAGGTGAGCACGAGACTGCACTGGAGACAGTGGGCCGCACGTGCGGACCGCGGGTCTCTGCGCACTGGGCTCCTCTGACGGTGCCGCCAAGGGATCCCAGTTCCTCACAAATTCCAGCCCTGCTGGGCGAAGCCCCATCAGGGCTGCCTCGCAAGGACCTGGCCTTCCCACCGTCCCGGGAGGCTGCGCCTTCTCAGGACCAGAGGCCCAGCCTCTCGCGGAGCCCCTTTGTGCGCCGCTCGCCGCAGGGAGGTGCCCTGCCACCTGCTGAGGCCGAGCAGGCCCATGGCTGCACCGGCCCAGAAGGACCGGCCTCCCTCTGCCTACAGAGCCAGGCGGGACTGCTGCAGGAGGTGCTTCTGAGAGCCAGGACGGGCAGCGAGGAGGCCTGGGCCCCCAAGTACTGCCCTTTGTGTCTCCTCGCCCACAAGCTTCTCAGGGCCTAGAACCCCCAGGGAGAGACAAAGACGGGAGTTCCGCAGTCCGCCACCGGGCCCTCCTGCCCGCACAGTGGAGCAGCGTCCAGAGGCAGGCGGCCTCGGGGGAGGGGGCGGCCCCTGTTGGCTTCTTGGAAGGAACCGGGGGACTTTCAAGCTGTGTGTGTGTGTGTGTGTGTGTGTGTGTGTGTGTGTACGGGGGGAGGGGTGCTGTGAGCGCTTATCAAGTCTCAGGTAAGGCTAAGCGCCCACTCTACTAGTATGCGGGAGGCTTAGCGGGGAGGTGGGACAGACAGGAAACAGCACACGGGGGCAGTGGGACGAGGGGCAGGATGCTGGTCCCGGCCAGGTAGCTCAGTTGGTTTGAGCATCATCCCATATGCCAAGGTTGTGGGTTCAATCCCCAGACAGGGCACATACAAGAATCAACAGATGAATGCAAGTAAGTGAGTAGAACAACATCCCCCCCTTCTCAATCTCGAGCTAAATGGAACATCACCTCACCAGGCGCAGAGGGCACGTCGCAGGCACTGCCGTCAGCACGCCCAGAGGGACCTTTAGGCTGGGAAGCCCCAGCCAAAGAGTGGGAGCACTTTGGATCAGCAGCAGCGGGTTCAGAAAGAAAGTCCACGTGAACTCCAGTGGCCCGAGCTCCACTCCCGCACCATCCCGTGGCCACACCACGAGGGTTAGTGAGGACAGAAGGCGTGGCCCGAGCGGGCGGCTCTGAGCCCACCTCCCTCAGAAGCCACGCAGGGCGCACTTCCGGGGGGAGCTCTCAGGAGGAGCATGCAGGTGACATCTGCCCCCAAAGTGCAGGTCCGCAGTCACACTGGGCTCGATGCCACCCCATGGAGGACCCTCGTGGGCTCCATGGGTGCCTGGGCAGCATGCCCCCTCATGCACGGTCCATGAGCACCTGACGGCACAGGCGGCAGGTCAGTGGCTGTGGCCTCAGACCTGCAGTGTTTCAGAAACCCTGTCTTGACCCTGAGACACCTAGTCCTTCACAAGCCCCTCCTCATGCCCAGGCTTGTCCTTCTTTGCAGCAGTGTTGTGTTTTGAGCAATTTATGGAACTGATGCCTCACTGTCTGCATGAGGAGTGGGGCTCAGGCGCCCATGCCCATGCCCAGGGCAGTCCTGGTGCCTGCCTCCCGGCGCCAGGCCTCAGACTCACAGGGTGTGCAGGCAAGGCGGCTGGCTCGCTGCCCTCACAGGGAGAGATGCCCTCGTTCCCAACAGCCTAGCAAAGGCCAAAGCAGCCCTGCCCCGGCCCTGGCCAGACCAGGGGAGCCCAAGTCCTCAGGCCTGGGCCCAGGGGATAGACTCAGCTCCAGGCACCACCTCACCGACCTGGACAAAGGCCCTGCATCTGCTGAAGCGCCTCAGGGGCCAGATGTTCAGCTTCATGAACTGGAGAGGTGCCTTCATAAGTCATGTGACCTGGGGCTGCCCGGGGAGGGACGGGATTAGGAGGGGCAAGGCCACGGAGCCTGAGTCCAGGCACTTACCTTGACCTTCGCAAAGCTTCTTCATCAGGGTCTTGCACTGTGGACAGAAAGTTGCTGGTCAGGAGGAAAACCGGGAGCATACGAGAGAAAGCTACCAGCGCGGGATGGACACTGAGTCCCCACCCATGACTGGCCATGCCCTCTCCCACCCTGTAGACTGGGAAGGGAAATGCTGTGCGCTGGGCAGAGGGTGCTGGTGCGAGTGGTCAGAGACGTGGCCAACTCGGGGCAGTCACTTTGCCGGGAAACACCATGCGAGCCGCTGCCCGTTGTCTGGTCAGGCGCTGAGCAGCGGCTCCTGTCCCTGGCCCGCCCCAGAGCCCAGATGGGCTCCGCCAGCCACTGTAATCTCAGGGCCAGCTCAGCGTCAGGGGCTCAGGGCTTCTGTGGCCTGTGGAGTGGGGCCCAGCACGCCCCCTTTCTGTGCCCCGCAGCCCACTCACTGTACTCGGTGCCCGTCATCTGGGCCAGGATGCGGAAGGAGCGAGACTGCAGGTTGGAGGAGCGGCGGGCCCACTCGTCAGCCTCGTCCTCCGGCTTGTTCTGGTTCTTGATCACGGCCTGGTACACGGGGGAGGCGCTGTCCACAGCCAGGTCTTTCACGGGAAGGCCCCTGCAACACAGAGTGACAGTGGGCGAGGGCCGGGGGGGCCTGGCCCTCCCCCTCCCTCCCCCACATCGACTCCTGGCACCCCCATGGTGGCCCCTACTTGTCTGAACCCACCGTGCCCTCCCCCCCTGCCCTCTGAGAGCCGGGCGGGTCACCTGGGTGCTCAGTGCTCAGGTGGTCAGTCAGTGGTGCTCCCTCTCAGGAGGGTCAGGAGGCGCAGGCCCCGGCCACACCCCTCCCCAGGCAGCTGCAGGCACAGACCTGAGGACACCCCGCCTCTGGCCACATCTCCGTTAAGGAGCCAGAGGCAGGAGGCATCAGGGGTAACTTCCAGCGCCCTGAGCAGGCCCTGAGTTTGGGGCTAAGTGAGGACAGGCCATTTGGGGACCCCTCTCCCCAATGCCGTGACTGCCGTAGGAGAGGGTTGAAGGCTGTGGCTTGGCTACGCACAGGCAGGCACCACAGGGTGGGGGTGGGTGAGAAACACAGCAACGAGGCCCTGTGAGGGTGTCGCCTGCAGACGGGGGCTCTGCCGGGGGAGCTGGGAGTGGAGCTGCAGGAGGGGGACCTGGTGGCCTTCCTCTGCCTTAGGCTCCCAGAACTGGCACATAGTAGGTGCTCAAGATGTACTTGTATAAATCAATCCTGTATCAGAGCCCAAGGGCCCCAGAGCCGCTTGGGTCCCGTGCCTCCCAGCCTGGCCCAGACTGCAGGGCAGGATAGATCAAAGCTTTCCGGTGCCCACTCCCCGGCCAGAAGGACTTGGATGCAGGCTGCCCAGCCTGCTGCCATGACTCAGGCGGAGCTCACAGCACCCACGCCTGCCTCCCCGGCCAGTGCCCAGCCCAAGCACATGCTCAGATCGGGTCCAGCGAGAACAGGGACTAACTCCCGGCTCCAGCACGGGGGCTCCAACATGATCCGAGCCAGGCTTCCCAGCTCCCAGCCCAGTTCTTCCATCAGACCTCACGGTGGCAGGGCTCAGAGGCCGCTGCTGTGCGAGGGGCCTCATTCACCCAGACACTCTACACCTAGAAATGGCCCTGTCAGAACCCCTCCCTGCCTCCCAGGCTGCCTCTCCCTGCACCCCCTGGCTGGGAGGGCCCCTCGGTTCCCTCATGTGCCACTCTCTGACCAAGGAGCCTCCAGCACTGGTCTAGTCTCTCAGGAGGGGCCTCTTGGGATCGGCACCCTGGGTCCGGGTCAGGTGGGTACAGCAGCAGTAAAGACAGTGACACCGGAGGCAGAGACGGTGGAGCTGCCTCCTTGCCTGAAGAATGTGGCCGCCTGCGGTTGGGTCCATGGGGATGACCACCGAATCCCTCGGGTCCAGGCAGGGAGGAGCCGAGGGGGTGGGATCTGGTGGGGGTGCCACTTCCAGCACTGACAGATTCCCAAGCGTCCACAGCAGAGGCTGTGCCTGCTGCCTGGGGAGGCGGCGATGGGGTGGGCAATCAGGTGCCCTGTCTGCCAGGACGTGTGGACTGTGCCGTGGGCCAGGCCTCGCCTGTAAGCCTGCCCATGCCGAAATCTGTGCCAGGAAGCAGCCAGAGGCCTTTGCTGCGACCTCCCCAGAATGTGCCCTGGGGTCCCCCAGCCCTCCCAGAGCTCCCAGGGCTCCGGGCTGCTAGGAATGTGTTGCTGGGGCTTCTGTCATCGGCCCCTTCCTACCACCCGCACGGAGACCAGACGAGCCTGCAGCCCAGCGGGGAGGCACCCCGCCAGGCACCCTGCCCCTCGCGAAGACCGGACTCAGGAGAAGAGATGCAGAGAGAGGACGGCGGGCGTCCTGGGACCCTGGTCGGAGCTGTCCTCTGGAGCCCCTCCCGGCACAGCGTCTTGCCACCAAAACACTCCAGAATCTCCGCAAGCTAAGGCCACCTGGGCATCTACCCGCTCACACTCCCTGCGGCCTGACTCCTCGTTGGCCCCTCGGGTGGCCTTGGCAGCACTGGCTCCTTCAGGTCCAGGTTCTGGGGTCTGGCGAGGGGCCCCTAACCACCCCCTTATCGCCCTCTGCCTGAGTGATGGCCAGTGATCGGCGGGTCTCCAAGGTCCCGTGCCCACAGAGGCGGGTGAGCCGCAGAGCATGGCGAGGGGAGCAGAGGCCGGCATGTGCCTTTCCTCCCATGCGTCCGCGGGGACGCGTGTGGGCAAACCCCAAAGACAAGCCTGGCGGCTGCAGCCTGTGGTGTGGCTGTGAGCGGGCGGGGAGAACACAGGCACTGTCCGCAGGCACGTCCCACCGGCCCACACCGCCCACACCAGACACACGGACGACGGCACAGACACCGGGCTACTTACCCCAGCGGCGACGCCCTGCCAAGCAGAGGAGCCCAGCAGGGAGTGTGTCCGGCAGGGGTGGCGGGGCGGGCACAGGGGTGGGGTCAGAAATAGTTATGGGGTGGGACGAATAAAGGAGGAAGAGAGAGACAAAAAGAAAACGTCAGTGAGGAGGGCCCGGTGGAGATTCCCACGGGAACCAGCTCCTGCGCACCGCGGCGGCCCGCACACCGCAGCCCCGCAGGCTGCGCTGGGAGGGGGAGGCGGGGCCGGGGGTAGCAGGCGCGGACAGCTTCCAGAAGACTAGAGAGGTCAGAGGTGCCTCGTGTTAGAAAGACCGAACAATAGCGTTCTTTACCCAGCGCAGAAAACCAAGTTCTTCATTATCTGACAGGGAGCACCCTCAGGAGCACACCACGGACACGCCTGCCACATGTGGGGCCAACCAGTGTTACAGGAAGCCCCTGTCATCGCTGCGGCTTAGCCAGGCACTTTTGTGAGACAAAGGCTGTGTTTTTAAATCGCATTGCCACGGCATTGAATCAACACTGTGAGGAGTTCTGCCTGAGCCCGGCCAGTTTGAGACCCACAGCTCCAGCGAGCAGCTCCCGCCCCCTGGTGGCCCCAGGAGGCACCACCTCCGCGGCCAGGCACTGCTCCCCCGCCTCCCCTCCCAGCCTGCACTGACAGCATGGTCTAACTCTATTGGAGTTTTCTGGCACTTTTTAACCCCTTTATCCCTCTCACAACATTTGTTTTTCTTAGATTTAGAAAAAAAGTACATCATTTTAAGATTTTTTTTTTTGCCTTGAGCTGCTGGGGGTACTGAGTTAGGGATAAGATGTTGGCCAAAGAGATAATCTGTCAGTTCTGAAAATCAACACTCATGTCATTCCCAAGCAGAAAACTGTCAGAGACTGTGTGTGTGTGTGTGTGTGAGAGAGAGAGAGAGAGAGAGAGAGAGAGAGAGAGAGAGGCAGAGAACAGAGTGAAAGAGGCAGAAGCGCACACAGAAAAAGAGAAAGAGAAACTAAGGGAGACAGAGAGAAAGACAAAAGGAGGAAGAGGCCCCTGTGGCTCAGTGGTTGGGCCTTGACTGTGAACCAGGAGGTCACAGTTCAGTTCCCAGTCAGGGCACATGCTGGGTTACAGGCTCGATCCCCAGTAGGGGGTGTGCAGGAGGCAGCTGATCAATGATTCTTTCTCATCATTAATGTCTCTCTCTCTTCCCCTCTCCCCCCCTCTCTGAAATCAATAAAAATATATTATTTTTTAAAAGAGGAAGAGGTCCTCATTAATGTTTGCACTATTAGCAGATTCATCCACAAATTATTTTCAGCCAACTCTTCCCCATTCAGCCCTCAAGTGGAGAAGGACCATTTCGGGGACCCTGATGCCCTCTGGCCCTCGGCCCGGGGCCAGGCTGCCGGGCAGCCAGGAGGAGCAGGAGCCAGAGGCTGCGGCCTGCGGCCCTTCCTCCCCTGGAGGCCACCACACATTCGGGTGGCCCTCATCTTCGGGAGAACGCACAGCTGCCCTCCAAAGGAAGGCTTGATGGGGGGACTGGGCGCTCCAGTGGCTAACAACTTTCCAGAAGTCTTTCTAACCAGCCCACGGGCGGGCAAGGCAGAGGCTGACAGTGCGTGGAGGAGCCATCTCTGCGTTTCTCCCCTCCTGCAGCGGGCCCGAGGTTGGTTCTGAGGAGGATGCATGTTCGGGGCCTGGCGGCCGGAAGCCAAGGCCCCGGGAGCGCTGGTCTCCGTGCCCACGTCCGTGCTGCGCGGGCAGCCCGCCCGGCCAGGAGCTGAGCGAGCCGCTGGGAGGGGCGCTTACCCACTGAAGTCACTGCCCTGGGCCTGGGCCTGCCCGGCAATGGCGTCCATGATGGCGTCCTGGGAGTACATGCTGATGGGCGTGTTGTACTGCGCGTGGATGATGGTGGCCTTGCCGCCCAGCCCCTTCACCTCGATGGGCTTGTGGGTGGACAGGGCGGAGTCCTTCAGGGCGTTGGGGTTGAAGCGCTCCTGGTAGTCCGCACTAGGGGGCGGGGGGCGGGGGAGAGAGGGCAGCAGGTGGGTCACCTGGGCCCTCCGGAAGGCTGTGGTGTGGAGAGACCTCCCAGAGTCTGGCCCGGTCGGTTGGCGGAAACTCCTGCCTGCCCCAGCCCTCTGCAGGGCTGCTCTGGCCCACCCGGACTCTGTCCCCCCGCCCCCCGGGCCCACAGGCGCCGGGCATGGGGCTCTCACACCAGCTGAAGCAGACAATGGGTGGGGGGCAGGCGCTGGGCCCTGGGCCAGGCAGCAGCAGCCCAAGCAGAGTCCGGACAGACAGACGGCCAGGCGAAAGCAGCCGGGGCGGCACGGAAGGCGGCCTTGCTCCTCTGGCAGCGCCCCTCGGCCACGCTCTGCTCCTCCGGATGCCTCGGCGAGCTTCTTCCTCACAGGGTGGCTCGGGCCCCGGGTCCCGCCTGCTGGGCTCTCCCTCCGCAGGCGGGGGCTCCCCACGCAAAGACGAGGCCGGCAGGACAGAGATCTTCGGGCTCGCGAAGATCCCAGGTCAGGCGGCGCTGCCTTCCCCCGGGCCCGGCCCCGCCCCAGAGCCGCCCGCCGGCCGGGCAGCTGCACACAGGGTGCCAGGCGGAGCCCTAGCACCCGCCCTGCGCTTCCCTCCACACTCGCGGCTTCACACGTGCAGGCGCACTGGGGACAAATGCACCCCCTCTCACACATGCACACACACGGACACATGCTGGCACAGGCACACCAGGTCCAGACCGACGCATGCTGGGATGTGCACGCAAGAGCACACACATGCTTTCCTTTGATACTAACTTGGCCGGAGAGTTGGCTACCACCTGGGGAGGAGAGAGCAGAGAGGAGGGAGTCAGGGGGCGGCGCAGGAGCCTGGCCAGGCCCGGCGGGTGGGGGCGGCTGGGCAAAGAGTGCTGAGAGGGCGACGAGCTGAGTCCCACAGCGGCGGTTCCTCGGCAGGTCCCTAAGTGCCAAAGCTTTGCCAGGAAGAAGGGCTCTGGTCCATCTTTAAGGGCACATGTACATGCACCCCCACACACAGCCTGGCAGAGATCAGCTCTGGACGTGCCCTTGTTCAGCGGGGGCTCCTGGGCAGGAGTGGCATGGGGCTAGGGTGTGTGTAGGGTGGGGTCACCCACAGCACCAGGGACCTCTCGGGGGAGGGGCAGCGGCGGTGGCAGGTCCTCCTGGACACAGGGGTAGGAGTCTGTGCGGGCTCCAGTGACGGCTCCTACAGACCCTGGACGGGCAACAAGGCAGGGCAAGGAGCAAGGAGGCTCGGAAGTCTGGGTCCGAGGCTGAGGGCAGGAAAGCCTCAGGCAGGCAGCCCGTCGGTACCACGGAGGCCCCTCCGCCTCTCCTGAGTGAGCCTCGGGAGCACCTGCTCCTTGGGAGGCATCGCCCGCACTATCCCTCTGAGCACAAACTCCACCCAGCAGATCCTGCCGGCGCCGGAGGCCTGGGGGTCCAAACTCTGCCAGGGTCTCAGATCTGACCTCGGTGGGCTCTGACAGGGGAGCCGGCCCCCGCTGGCCTGGCTCTGCTCATCCTTTGGCCAAGACCCCGGGGATCCAGGCCAGAGCCCGGGCCCCCGAGCAGCCTCGCCAGGGCCCGTGTGTCAGAGCTGATAGTGTCCTCTGTCCTCCCCGTCTCAAAATAGCTGCCAGGGGAGCTATATCAGGAGAGGCCAGCACAGAGCTCGCCCCTTCTCCGTCTTTGGCCAGTGCTGACAGCTGCAGGGTCAGCTCTTGTCCTGACCAGCCGTGCCCCCTGCAAAGGGCAGCGCTGCCTCTGGGGCTGTCCCTGCCCCTGCCCCGCCTGGGCAGGCAGCTCCTTCTTTGGCTTTGATTCCTGCCCCCTGCTCAGCTCTGCCTGCGGACCTGCTGCTGGAGGCCTGGAGCAGCCTAACTCAGAGGCTTGGAGCTGTGAGCCTGCCAGGCCCTCCGCGCAGGGCGGCTGCAGACGCTGCTCCAGCCCAGCCTGAGAGAGCAGGAAGGGGCCGCAGGCATGCTCAGGCCCCCGGTCCCTATGCCCCCGTCCTTGTACCCCGGTCCGCCCCCATGCCTCCCAGGAGGCGCTGCCAGGAAACCACACTGCAAACTGCTCAGAGAGAGAGCTGGGGGCGGAACTTCCTTTTAAAGCCAGGCTGGACAGAGTCCAAATTTGATCCTGCCTCTTCCTGGCACTGTGACTGGGCAAGTCTCCTGTCTCAGCCTCTTCACTTGTGAAAGGGGAAGGGGGGGCAGCGCCTGCCACACGACGGCTGTGCAGACTGAACAGGTACTGAGAGGAAGCCTCGGCCGCCATGTCCAGTGGACGGACTTGGAGCATCTGGACACTTGGTGAAGCCCAGCAGAGGCTGCCCAGGCAGGTGCAGCTCGCAGGCTCCGTCCTGCCCGTGGCCCTGCCGTGGCCCTGCATGGCCCTGCCCGTGGCCCTGCATGGCCCTGCGTGGCCCTGCGTGGCCCTGCCTATGGCCCTGCGTGGCCCTGCGTGGCCCTGCCGTGGCCCTGCCCGTGGCCCTGCCTATGGCCCTGCGTGGCCCTGCGTGGCCCTGCGTGGCCCTGCCGTGGCCCTGCGTGGCCCTGCCCGTGGCCTGCCCGGGCCGCAGCACCAGCCTTCCTCTGGAGGAAGCACTCCCTCTCAGAGGGGACTGCCTTCCCTGGGAGGACACGCTGGCCTGGTGCTCTGAGTGTCCAGTTATACTGTAATACTTGTCAGGTTCCAGAAGTCCCTGTGCCCAGCGGAGGGCGCCTTGGCAGCCGTGGGAAGTGGGGTGGGGCTGGCCTTGACTTCCCGGGACAGGGCGGTGGGTCCCGTCGCCATGCAGGGAGGAGCCGAGGGGACCCAGTGCCAGTCCTATCTGCCCCTCACTAGCTGTGTGACTTTGGGAGTGTTGCTCACGGTCTCTGGGCTCCTCTCTCCCAGCGGGACAATGGGGGGAAGCAATGCCACTGCTCGAGATGCTGAGAGATGTGTTCGTGAAAGCACAGCTGGGAGGAGCGCCCAGACCAGACAGGTCAGGAGGGGGCCTCCCACAGCCAGTCTCCCGGGACCCAGAGGAGCGAGCAGCCGCCCAGGCAGAGGCTGTCTCCATGCTGCCGCTCTGGAGCTTTCCGGCAGACGCTGCTGGGAAAGAGCCGGTGCTGGTCTGCCACCCCCCCCGGAAGTGCCGAGGCAGCTCACTCAGGATCGGGGAGCGCTGGGGCCTGGGGAGAGGCTTTCCCCGGAGCAGTGAGCATGGCGAGAGAAGGGCATGGCTTGGGCCAGACTGATCCGGCTTGCAATTCTGGCTCTTGGTGCCCCAGCTGTGCGCCCCAGGGAGCAGAGGGCAGTGTGTACTGAGCCTCCAGAACGGAGCTCAGTGCTGTGTGGGCTTTTCACTCAGTCTTCCCAGCTGCCTTCTAACCACTGGACCACACGCCTCCACTCAGCCTGCTCTGCTTCAAGCACACAGTTATTAGGGAGAGCTGGACCGACTGCCCGGGGCCATGGAGAATGAGAATGAGATAACCGGCAGAAAGCACTCAGGGACTACCACAGGCTCTGCCTGAGACTCCCCCCTCGTCCCCGCCCCTCTGCCCTCCGCTCACCACCCTGCCGGCTCTGGGTTTTAACTCCAGTGCTCACAGGGTCCTACCAGCCAGACCCCTGCAGGCTGGGTGGCTACCATTATGCACAGCCCCAGCTCCTTGGGGTCCTGCTTCCTTGCGGCCCCACCCAGCAGGGTCAGCCCTGCAAGCCCACCCCTGCACACTGCTGCCAAACCTCTCTGGACCCGCTGAGGTACCTCCCCATGAGGGGCTTCCCAGACCAGCCAGCCTTAGGGAACTGCCCTCCCGCCTCGCTAACTCCTCCTTGCCCTGCCTCCAGGCTCCCGAAGGGTGAGGGCAGCAGGCTGTGTCCTGTCCTGGGGGGAGGGGGGGAGTGTGACAGTTTTGGGTGTCAGAGTCTCTTGCATCCAGGCCCAGCTAGGCCGCTTAGTTGCTGGAAGCTGGACTTCAACCTCACCCTCTCCACGCCTGTTCGCCTGCACATCCAGACTCCCCGGGGTCTGAGCAAAGCACGGGCCTGGCCACGCCAGCGCAGCAGCACCTGCTCGGCTCTCACTGCGGCCCTCCTGCGGACGGGCTGGCGGTGGAGGCCGGCACCTCACTGACCGCCTGACCAGGCTCCACTGAGCACTGCGGACCCAGGGGCCCAGACCACCTGGCAGGGCGGTGCCCGTTACCTACCCGCCTGGGAGTCCGGCCCCCGAGGCCCTTCCTCGGAGGCTCATCTGATACAGCTGAGCCATCTCCCTCAGCGTCTCCGCCGAGTACAGGCCAATGGGGTTGTTATACTGCCGGGGCGGGCGCGGGCCCGGGGCTCCCTCCGGGCTGGGCGCGGCCCCTGGGCTGCCCCCGGGAGGACCAGGCTCAGGGGCCTCCGCGTGGGGGGAGGAGGCGCTAAAGGTCTGCCTGACCTCCGTGCCCGGGCCGGCCGGCCCCCCGGGGCTGGTGTCCAGAGCAGGGTCCTGGCACAGGGTAGCCGCCATGCAGGGAGAGAGAAGAGAGCAGTGAGAGGCCGCACGCGTCCGTGCTTCCGTGCGGACCTGAAACAGAGGGTCAGTACGCCCGCGGCCCCGCCCGAGCCTGGGCTCAGGGGCAGACAGCGCACTGGAAGAGGGTTGTCAGGAAGAGCAGGGGCACAAAGCTCCTGGCCCAGGCTGGCACCCCCCGGGCAGAAAGCCAAGCCAAGCCACGCCTGCTGCCTGCAGCACTAGAGGAGGCTGGAGCCAGGGACTGGGTGGGTGGGGGCAGCGTATCTGTTTCTCCTTCTGAGTAAGGGCCCCGGTGGGCACAGCCCCGCCTCCTGCTCTCTAACCCCGGACTGTGGTGCCCCCACGTGCCCAGAGAAGGGGCCCCGCGCTGGCAGTGCACAGGCAGGGTGGAGGTGCAGGAGGAGAAACTGAGGCAGTAGGGGCTGACATTGGCCCCTTTGGCTCACCTCTGCCTTTTCCCCCATTGCCCCCTCTGTGCCCACCAGCCTCTTCTCCCCATTCTGTCCGTGCCCACTCTGCCTCACCGGAGAAACCGGGGTCAGTATTGGTCATGCAGGGAGGGGTGGGGGGTCCCCGGCTTGGGCCCACAGGCTGAGCTGCTTAGAGGAAGCTGGGCAGGAGCCTGGGACACAGGGCGAGGACTGTGTCCCTTCTCTCCTGCCCTGGTCACCACCAGCGTTTGGGGCTGGGCTCTGAGGCGATGCGGTTGGGAGGAGGAATGGAAATCAGAGGGAGACACCCCAGGAGCCAGCAGGCCCCTCCACAGCCACAGCTCCTCCCGGATGCCCGCTGAAGCTGGGCCTCCAGCTCTCCTGCCACAGCCTGGCCCCGGCCTCAGGAAAGGAGGGTCAGAGGCCTGGCTGCTGTGAGGACACAGCCTAAGCTGCTGGCAAGTGGGCCCAGCCAGGAGGCCCTGGCAGGTGGCACCCAGGCGGGCACTCCTCTCCCAGGATCAGTACAGCGGGCAGTGGTGGCAGGACTGACCCCTCGCATGGGCCTCGCAGGAGCCGCGCCTGGGAGTGGAGTCCGCCACCAATCGGCACCTACCTTCTGGTGGGGGATCACTGGCAGAGGCGACTGGATCGGGGGCGCTGCCGTGGAGATGGGAATGGGCCGCTTTGACCTGGAGAAACCAGGAATGAGCCCCGTGAAGTCACGCTGGGCCGGGAGCTCGCGGAGAGCCATGCGGCCCGGCAGCCGGGCAGCCCGAGACCACCGTCTACGCAGACGGAAAGCCTGGCCTTGGCACCAGCAGCCATGGGCCTCGGGGGGCCTCGGGGGCTGCCTGCAGGGGAGAAAGCAGGGAGCCTGGCTCCTGGGCCTGACGGCCACACCTGGCAGCACCAGCCCCGCCTCCCAGCCCGTCCGTCTGGAGAAGCACAGACGGCAGGTGCTTGACGATGACTCGGGCCTCGGCCTCTGGCCCCGCTGCCCTGAGAGGCCCTGGGCACAGGGCTGGCCCCTCCCGCCGCCCCGCCTGGAGGCTCCACCTACTTCTGCAGGGTGAGGCTCAGGTTGTAGCTGGCAGACTTGATCTTGTTCTGGGCCTCCAGGTGGGTCATGGTGTCCGTGTTCACGCCGTCGATGGCGACCACGAGGTCCCCCTGGCTGAGCTGTGACTGGGCTGCCTTGCTGCCCGGGGTGATCTGAGAGGGTGCAGATGGGGAGCATCAGGAGCGTGGCCCAGGGCTGGGCCAGGCTCAGGGAAGAGTCACTAGGCGCCACGGGTAGAGGCCTGCCACTTTGTCTTTTACGTTGTGGCTGGACCTCGGATCCCCAGGCCGTCCCTCCTGCTGGCACACAGCCTGTGTCTGCGTGTGGCTGGCAGCACGCGAGGGAGGCGGTGCACGCCCGCCCAGCCTGTCCCCAGCAGTCGGTCTCGTACCCTGCACCTTGCACTCTCTCTTCATGGAGAGGACCCGGAGGGCAGCTGAGCTCCTAGCAGCAGAGCCTGCGCCTGGGGCTGTGCCGGGGAGCATGCTCGCCGGGCACTGCACTGGATGCTGCCTGAGTGAGAATGAACTCCCACCGCGCCATCGGGCTCCGGGCTCCGGCTACACCGGGTGCTCCTGAACCTCCTGCGCCTGAGAGCCCTCACAGCACCCCGGGCCGGGGGAGGCTCAGCGCCCACAGAGGCTGCCGCCACTGGCGGGCCCAATGCCCCTCTCAGAGCAGCTTCGTGTGAGCGCCTGGAGCTGCCAGGCTGTCAGCCCTGCCGGGCGAGCAGGCTGGCACACGGGCTGGCTTCATCCTGCCCGCAGGGGAGGTGTGCCTGTGGGGCCAGTCCCCTAACCCTGCACCCCAATGACGACACAGAGCATTGGAGTCTGCATCCCGGGCCCCCCCGAGCCCCCATCACAGAACGGCAGGTCTCCACCACCGGAGCACCCCACACAATGCCAGGAAGGCGCACCTCCGACCCACTGACCCACTGACGGGGGCTCACGGCCCGGCTCTACCCCTGGCTCCGGCCACGCCCTGGCTGTGGAGACCGCCCTCAGGGATGTCACAGGAGATGCTGGAGGCCTCCTGACATCACCTGAATAGTTTGGTGGCCACTGCTGGGACATTTCGGGGAATGTGATAAAGCCCCGCCTCTGAAGACACCAGGTGGCGCTGTGCGTCGCTGGAATGACCGTGATGTGTGGCCGGCCAGGTAGGCCCCACCCAGAGACCCGGCTTTGCTTCCCCAACTGCCCACAGGCCAGCCTCCCTGGCTCCTCCAGGCACGTGGCCCACTGCCCTGGCTGGGCCCAGGGCAAGGCCGGCCCCTGAGCCCGCAGACGCTCTTTTCCGGCCAACGTCTCGGGACCAGCTTAGAAGGAGCAGGGGGACCCAGGACCGTCGCCGTCCTTGGGTGTCAAGCCTGACAGGGCTTTGGGCGGACGGGACTCTCCCCTAAGCCAGAGCCCTGGGGCCGCTGCCCGCCAGCCTGCCCCGGTGTGCTCAGCACGGCGGGCCGGAACGAGCAATGACCCCAGACCACAGAAGCATGCTGCCTGCTTGCACCCGCACCTCTGCCCAGAGCAGCCTGCCGGCCCTGGTCTGAGACCCGGAGGACGGGAGGGAGACGAATCCCGGGTGGGGTCGGTGTGGGCCAGCAGCCCAGCCTGCTCCCAGGGGCTTCCGGGCCACCACCCGCCCGCCTCTCACACCGCACACCCTTCCTCTCACATCCCCTCCTCTCACACCGCACACCCCTCCTCTCACACCCCTCCTCTCACACCACACACCCCTCCTCTCACACCCCTCCTCTCACACTGCACACCCCTCCTCTCACACCACACACCCCTCCTCTCACACCCCTCCTCTCACACCCCTCCTCTCACACCGCACACCCCTCCTCTCACACTGCACACCCCTCCTCTCACATCCCCTTCTCTCACACCGCACCCCTCCTCTCACATCCCCGCCTCTCACACCACACCCCTCCTCTCACACCGCACACCCCTCCTCTCACACCCCTCCTCTCACATCCCCTCCTCTCACACCGCACACCCCTCCTCTCACATCCCCTCCTCTCACACCGCACACCCCTCCTCTCACATCCCCTCCTCTCACACCACACCCCTCCTCTCACATCCCCTCCTCTCACATCCCCGCCTCTCACACCGCACACCCCTCCTCTCACACCCCTCCTCTCACACTGCACAACCCCTCCTCTCACACCACACACCCCTCCTCTCACACCCCTCCTCTCACACCCCTCCTCTCACACCGCACACCCCTCCTCTCACACCCCTCCTCTCACACCACACCCCTCCTCTCACATCCCCTCCTCTCACACCCCTCCTCTCACATCCCCTCCTCTCACACCGCACCGCCTCCTCCTGACCCAGCCCAGGGGCCTCCACCACACAGGCTAAAGCAACTGAAAGCAGCCGCAATGTGGAGCAAACGCCGTGGCTGAGCAGGGACTCCTGGGGCCTCTCCCGGCCTCTGCTCCCCCCGCATCTCACACAGACATTGTCTACAAAGCGAACGGGTTTCCCTCTGAGCGCCACACCCACCACGGCTCTGCCGACATGACATGTCACTCCCCTGCTCTCCACCGCCGCCCGCTCCGCCCCACGCGCTCCCAGCGGGCGGCGTGAGCAGGCCGCTGCCTCCGTGGACTGCCCACCGGGCGCCCCAGCCGACTCCCCCACACCAGGGCTCCCCGATGCTTCCACTGAGCCACAGAGAAGGCCCCTCACCCTGCAGCGGGAGCTCCCACACACACCCCAGAAGGCAGGGCAGGCTGCTGCCTGCAGTGATGACTGCCAGACAGCAGAGCCGGGCCAGAGCACGTGGTGACCTGTGAGCCAGGACACCAGAACGACACCGGAGAGGGCGGTCCGCGCGGGAAGGGGGTGGGGCATGGGGATGTCCTGCGTTTGGAGCCCCTCTAGGCAGGGACCAGCTCACACCAAACTCCCCTGCCGGCTGGCCTTGCTCCCTGCACCTCAGGTACCCGCTGGGTGGTCCCAGCTCAGGGCAGAGCTCGGCGTCCCTGAGGCCTGGTCAGGACCAGACTCCTCTGCCCCCGGCGCCTCTCTCCCTCCACCTGTGTCTGCCCATCCTGGCTCCGCTGCCTGGCTTGTGGCCACCGAGCAGATCCAGGATCCTGGCTGCCTCCCTCCTGCAGGGAGTGCTCTTCAGTTCTGCCAGCTTTCCACGGAAAGGCGGGGGGCGGGGGTGAGGGCTGGAGGCTGGGCCCCCAGCTGGGCCCCAGGGTCATCAGATTGAGGCCCACAGCCCAAGAGGAGGCCCACAGAAGGGGGGGTAGCTTGCACTCCCACCCAGAGCCCAGAGCTGGGAAGGGTGCGGTCCAGGCATAACACATACATGGGTCCCTTGTCGGACCTCATCCCTCGCTGCTTTCCTCACCCGGGAAGGACCCAAAGCAGCCAAATCCTTGGGTTTTTCTTTGGTGTTTCTCCTCTTGAGCATTTGGAGGGCTCTTTGTAATCGTCGCTTCATCGCACACATTTTCAGCCTCCCCGTCGCCCGCTGGGAAAACGGTGCTGGCGGAGCTCCAGGCCGCGGCTCACACTGCCCCCAGGAGTCCTCCCACCTAGCTGAGCCGGGGCTTAAGGGGCCCAGAGGGGCACAGGGCTAGCCATGCCAGCCAGCAGCTGTGGCCCCGCCACCTGCAGGGGCCGTGGGGAGGAAGTGAAGGCACGAGCATACTTTGGTCTGAGCCAGACCTGGGGCTGCGGTGCCAGCCGTGCCCTGTGCGTGTGGAGAGAGGGCACCCTGTCCCAGGATGGCGGCCTCGCAGTTAAACAGGGAATCCTGTGGGGAGGGCCCAGCACGGAAGCAGACGGAGTTTCAAGGAAGCTCCCAACTGAGGATCTGAGGTGCTGTCCCAGCTCCTCCCCCTGGAGGAGCCAGAGGGCCTGGGCTGGGAGTCTGCACCCCTGACTCAGGAGCCAGAGCCGGCAGAGGGGGTGCACCAGAGGGGGTGCACGGGGCTTCCCTGGCTCAGGGGCACCCATGAGACTGGCTCTGGTCTCCCCAGTTCCCAGGCAGCTGGCAGCCGGAGGGCAGCTGGGCTCCGGAGGACGCCCCCAGCCATCTCTCGCCGAGCTCAGAACAGACAGGCCCTGCCTGCCCCCCCTCCAGGTTGGTCCATGTCGGGGTGACAGGGGGAGGGGAAGTGGGGGCGAGGGCAGCTGGTGGATGTGGGGATGGTGTGCCTTCCAGCATCTCCTCCCCACCTTCCCAGGGCCCATCCCGGGGGATCTCCCGTGGAGCCCTGGAGCCCTAAGTGCCTGTAACATTGTGCGATTAAGTTACTACCTGCCTGGCTCTTAGAGCCCATCTGGGCTCCCCTGGGGCTGGCTCCACCCCCCACCCTCCCACTGGACACTCCTGCCTCCCCAGGCCCCACCTCCGCCCAGCCAGCCCCAGAGCCTCCCCTAAGCTTAGTGCAGGGTCCCAGGCAGGGAGCTCTGCGCTGGAGGGCAAAGGCCATTTGTCCAAACCGGGCGTGCAACCAGAGTGAGCCCCAGTGAGCCGGGCGGAACCAGGGTCATGTGGGCTCGTCAGCGGTAACAATGGCAAACCGGCGTGCGGAGAGGGGGAGGGGGGGAGGGGGGAGGAGAGCAAAGGGGAGGAGAGGGGGAGGGGAGGGAGAGGGGCAGGGGAGGGGGAAATCTCTGTTCCCTCCCCTCAATGTTGCTGTGAACCTAAAACTGCTCTAAGAAAATAGTCTAAAAATAAAGTCTCTCCCCTGCCGCCCTGCTCCAGCGCCTCGGGCCATGTTCCCTCCCTCCTCGCCTCAGGCTGAAAGCAGTGACAGCAGGCCCACCTCCTGCCTCACACTCCACCGGACAGGGGCCTCCCTGTGCCAAAGCCAGGGCCACCGGGCCTCTCCAGCTGACCAGCCTCCCCTCCCTGGCCCTCCGAGGGCCTCTCGAGAACCAGGCCCACAGCCCCGCTGTGTCCGGGAGGCCCCGCAGATGCTCTGGGCACAGCGATGCGGGCGGCCGGAGAGCACTGGACACGGCAAGTCCCTCCAGCCTCTCACGATGGGTCCTGGGGAGGGTGGGCGTGGTCCTAGGGCCTTTGTAGGGACAGACACTGCCCTGGACGGGGGGGACTGTGCAGAGGGACAGAGACTCCGGGGCTGGGAGAGCTCGCCCAGCCTGGAGGGCCGCCAGCGGGGCCAGGGCCTCCTCCCGCTCGCTGCCGCCTGGGGCGGTCCATGAAGCTGGCCCAGGGCTCGGAGGTTCTGGTCTCCAGGAGCCCAGGCAGCCTCATGCCCACGACCTCTGGGGGGCACAGGGCCAGGGCCAGCTCTGACACTGGGGAGGGAGCCGGCAGGGAGGCCTCGCGGGGACGCTGTGGGCCTGCGGCCCTCCGTTTGCTCCTGGGGGGGAGGGGGCAGCCGCTTGACCTCCGAGCTATAAACAGCCCTGCCTGTCAGCACTTGGCGGCGCTGCCCCAGAAGTAGCTCGCAGCCTGGATTCCAGGAATCGCCGGCACAGTTGCCCCAGAATAATCTTGGCCTTCCCCTCCCTGGGGACCCTCTGTCCTCTGGGTCCCCATTGGCAGAGTCTGACAAGTCCTAGAACTGAAAACTGCCAGGGAGCTGGTCCACAGGCCGTTCTCACTGCGAGAGCCCGGCCAGCAGGTGCCACGCTGCACAGTGCTGGTCCTCCACAGCGTCTCCCACTGACGCGTCCTCGCTGTACAGCGGCACCCACCTTCCCAAGGTGGCCGGCGGGAGGAGCAGAGTGGACGCACCCTCTCCCAGAAAGTGGGGGACCCAACACGCACCCGGGGCCAGGCCCAGAGCAGGCCCAGATCCGGCCTAGTGGCCAGCCCGGGCTGGCACAGGGCGGGGCGGGCCTTTGTTGCTGCCCCCACCCCTCCCGCTTCCTGGAGGACTGGCTGGGTGGGCAGGCGGGGAGAGGCCCCGCACCTGTCCCCTCTGCCCTCCGAGGCTCCTCTCCGAACCCCCTTCTCCATGGGGCCTCAGGGGGAGACCCACAGGCAGGAGGCTGGACGGGCTGCTGCTGTCCGGGGGGAGATGCTGAGGGCCTGTGGGCAGGGGTGGGGGGAGCTCCCAGCAGCCTGCGGGCGGCAGGGGCAGCCTTTTTACAGGAGCGGCTGCAGCTGACCGGTGCCTGGCCCCACTCAGTGCCCCCTCTACCGGCCCCACGGGAGCGGGAAGGGGCAGGCACGGGGACAGGGACGCCGCAGGAGCTCCTGTGCAAATTCAAGTCTGCCTGCCTGGCTGTGACCCTGGCTGTGACCCCTCTCCCTCTGGACTGCAGTGCGGGTGGTCGTGAGGGAGGCCCTCTGAGCAGGGCAGCCCTGCCTCCGGGAACCCTCCGCAGCGCCTCCAGGCCCCGAGCACCCACTGGTCCCTGTGGAAGTGGGGTTTCTGGTCCTGCACCCCCATGGGGGGAAGTTCCTGGTGCAGGAGGCCTGGAGAAGCCCAGCAGGCAAACCACAGCGCTGGGGGGCGGCAGGGCTAGGGAGGGTAGGCCTGTGACATGGAGCCCGGGCCACCTCAGTCCAGGGGATCAGTGGCCCCCCAGAACAGCTTACCAAGAGACGCCAAGCCCCGGGGAGGCCCGGTGCCAGCCAGCTGCTCCATGGCTTTGGTAACGCGGGGTGTGCCCCTCCCTGTAGGACGCAGGGAGGCCATTGTGCGTGCCCTGAAGCCCTGTCTGGGCTGCGGGTTCTATTTTTAAAATCCCCCTAGTTGTGGCTCCAGCCCGTCTCAGTATACCCGGTGCCTACAGCAGGACATTCCTCCCCTGCCCAACACCAGGCTGGGGCTGCAGTAAGCCCCACTGGCCAGGCCAGGTGGCACACAGCCGCTGGGTGAGGTAATGGCCATCCTGGGTCCCTGAGCCAGGAGGCTGATCCCCGCCCCAGGGATGGTGCAGGGAGCACCGGGAGGAGGCCTTGAGGATGGTGGGGCTGGGGCTGGGCTGGGCTGGGGCAGAGCTGGGGCTGGGCTGGGGCAGGGCTGGGGCTGGGGCAGGGCTGGGGCTGGGCTGGGGCAGGGCTGGGGCTGGGGCTGAGGCTGGGGCAGGGCTGGGTCTGGGCTGGGGCTGGGCTGGGGCAGGGCTGGGGCAGGGCTGGGGGCTGGGGCAGGGCTGGGGCTGGGCTGGGGGCTGGGCTGGGGCAGGGCTGGGGCTGGGGCCTGGGGCAGGGCTGGGGCTGGGGCTGGGGCAGGGCTGGGGCAGGCTGGGGCTGGGGCTGGGCAGGGCTGGGCAGGGCTGGGGCAGGGCTGGGGCAGGGCTGGGGCAGGGCTGGGGGCTTGGGCTGGGGCTGGGCTGGGACTGGGCTGGGGCAGGGCTGGGTGGGCTGGGGCTGGGCTGGGCAGGGCTGGAGCTGGGCTGGGGCGGGCTGGGCTGGGCTGGGCTGGGCTGGGGCTGGGCTGGGGCAGGGCTGGGGCTGGGGCTGGGGCTGGGGCTGGGGCTGGGGCAGGGCTGGGGCTGGGGCTGGGGCTGGGGCAGGGCTGGGCAGGGCTGGGCTGGGCTGGGCTGGGGCAGGGCTGGGGCAAGGGCTGGGGCAGGGCTGGGGCAGGGCTGGGCTGGGCTGGGCTGGCTGGGGCAGGGCTGGGCTGGGCTGGGGTAGGCTGGGCTGGGCTGGGGCAGGGCTGGGCTGGGCTGAGGCTGGTCGGGGCTGGGGGGGCTGGGGCAGGGGCAGGGCTGGGCTGGGGCAGGGTTTGGGCTGGGCTGGGGCAGGGCTGGGGCTGGGGCTGGCTGGGGCAGGGCTGGGCTGGGCTTGGGCAGGTTGGGGCTGGGCTGGGCTGGGGGCTGGGCTGGGCTGGGCTGGGGCTGGGCTGGGGCTGGGGCTGGGCTGGGGGCAGGGCTGGGCTGGGCTGGGGCTGGGCTGGGGCTGGGCTGGGGCAGGGCTGGGGCTGGGGCTGGGCTGGGGCAGGGCTGGGGCAGGGCTGGGGCTGGGCTGGGCTGGGCTGGGGCAGGGCTGGGGCAGGGTTGGGGCAGGGTTGGAGTGGCCAGGGGATGGTGGGAGTGAGAGTGGAAGGAAGGAGACCGCAGCCTTGGGGTAGCAATGTGCGGGTGTCCTGGTCTTGTAGGCCCGTGTCACCACGCCCCAGGCCAGGAGTGCCAGCCTTGGCTGTCCTTTCAGTATGACCCCTGCTCCCGGCCCCTTGTCTGGAGGGCGCGGGCTCAGGCTGGAATGAGCCAGCGATCCAGGACGAGGGAGGCTGAGGCCATTTCCCGGGCCAGAACCCACCCCCGAGAAATGCAGCCTCCCAAGCACCCTGAGGGGCTTTCCGCGGGGGCCCTCGAAGGGCCCACGGCCAGGACTCCTCCTGCAGTGGGGCACTGGCTTCCTGCCTCTCTGCCAAGCAGCTTTCCACCTCGGTGCTTCCCTGTCCCGAGACAAAGCTTCCTTCCAGGTGGGCAGCAACCACCCACCAGCCCCCAGTGACAGCGGGCCTCCGCCTGCCCCCTGCCACACCGCACTGCTGGGGCTGAGCACACACCTCACAGTCCAGCTGTCCCAGGCCTCAGCCCCGGCTCTGCGCACCTGGAGAGTCCCTCTGCCTGACAAATGCTGCCTGAGCGCCTGCCGTGCTCTAGCCCTCGGCAGGCAAGGCTCCCTCCGCAGCTCTAGCTGCTCCTCTCGCCGGCGTCAGCATCCCCAGCCGTCAGCAGCCTGTGACGCGCCCTGGGCAGTGCGCTCCCGGTCAGGCAGACCCCAGGCCCGGCAGGAAGGGGTCATTTTCTGGGCGGGCGGGCGGGCGGGTGGCATGGGAATAGATGTGGACAGGCCGGTGAGCAGCCCTGGGGAAGGGGCAGCCAGTGCAAGGTACTGGCAGGCCAGGGAGGCGGGAAGGGACTGCAGTCTTGGGTCTGAGACAGAGTGGGTGCTGGAGCTCAGTAACCAGCCCTGAGCCCTGAGTCCTGAGCCCTGGGCCCTGACAGCCGAGGTGGGCAGCCGGCCACTCTACCTATCCACCCCCAGTTAGCTGCCCGCTCCACCCTGCGGGTGCTCCCTCCCCAGAGCCCACTTCCAGGGAGACGCTCCAGGCCTGGGGCACCCGGAGCCCACCCTGCCGAGGAGGGGCTGTCCTCCCTTCCTTGCCTGCCAGCCCTTCTCGGCTCAAAGCACCTCGGCTTGGCCACTACATTCCACATTTCGCAGGCTGGCCAGTTCGGCAGGAAACAGCTGTGGCAGAGACCGGGGTCTGTGGCCGGCAGCATTCAGTTGGCGCCAATCCCAGCCCCCAGCGGGTGAGGTGTGCTCTGATTTTCAAGAGCCTTGAGGAAGATGGACAGACGGACAGACACACCATTCTCGAACATGCCACCCGCGGCCGCGCACTCACCCGGGAGATGGTGAGCGGCATGTTGAAGTCCTTCCCCCCTTGCAGACGGAAGCCCCAGGGCCCGGGCCCGGCCAGGGTCACGCTGTAGGACATGCTGGTGCGGACGGCGGCAGCCTCTGCGGACAGGAGGAGCGGAGTGAGGCCCTTGCACACCCTCCCCGGCCCAGCTCTACCCCTGTCCCAGCCCCGACCCCGACCCCAGCGTGCCTGCTCCGTCCCTGGCTGGCTGTCGGCAGGCTGTGTGCGCTCCTGAGAGGCTCCTAAGAATAGCTGGGAACAAATGCCATCGACACTGATATTGCCCTCTGCTGCGCCCATAAATGGACTGTAACCCTACACTGTGCCCGCCCGCCCAGGCCTCCCAAGCTGTCCACCGTGACTCATGCGGCTAATATAGCCCCTGGGGAGGGGTGGCCAGCACCCAGCACCCCGGGGCAGGACGGGGACTGGCTCTCCCTCCTGCTCTCCCCTCCTCACTCCCTCTGCCTGGGGGCAGGACACACGCTCTCCCCCGCTGCACCAGCCCTTGCCCAGAGACCACAGCTGAGCCCGGGGCAGGGCTTTGGGTCCGGTTCTGCTGTTCTGTGCTCTGTGAGAAAGGCGGTGCCCTGTCTGACGGAGCCTGGTGGTGCTTGGCCCAGTGAGCCTCAGCCGGCCTCAGCTCCGAGGCCAGCCACTGCCCGGGGAGGTGCAGCCCCGGCAGCCACCGTCACGCCCCAGCCAGCGTGCTCCATGTTTCAGGTGTCAGCCCCAGCGCCGGACGACTGCCGGTTTGACTCCTGGTCAAGGGCACGTGGGTTACGGTTCAACCACTGGCCCAGCTGGTCAGGCAAAGTGGGAGATAGACCATGGATGTTTTTCTCTTTCTCTCCCCCGCCCCTTCTGCTCTCTGAAAAACCAGTGGAAACAATACCCTTGGGTGAGGATTAACAACAGCTCATCCTAACAGCAGCAGCTGTGGGCACGGCCCCCGCCCTTCACACGCTCAGCCCTCAGCCCCGGAGGCGGTGCCTCGGAGCCGGCCCCGGGGGTGAAGGGCTTTTCCCAAGGCCACGCAGGGGGGCCGCAGGCAGACTGGAGCCTGAGCTAATTCCCACTGCACTTGTTCCAGAAACGGGCTCCCAGTGGCCACAGGTGCCTCCCAATGCCCAGCCTCGGGGGTCCTGCCTGACCCCTCGGCACAGAGCCTGAAAGCAGGCCCCGGCAGGCGCACGCCGCCCAGACCCTCGGCCAGGGGCTATTCCTGGCTCTCCTGGCTCACTTGCGCTGGAAAACCTGACAGCGGTATGGAAAGCTCAGCTGCCAGCGGGCACGTCAGGCCCTGTGCCCTTTGCGCTGGAATGGCAGGGGGCAGGGAGGAGGAGAGGAGATGCCATTTGCTCAGCTGCTGGGACACGGGGCCAGGGGGGCGGGAGGGCGGCGTGCTCAGTGTGCTCAGCCCATAAGCCAGAGACAGCGTGTTCTGGGAGGGCCTCGTACCCTTGGACTCCTGCCAGCCTCGCGGCCTTCCGCCAGGATGCCTTCGGAAGCCGTACCCAGCAGAGACCTCAGGCCCCGGATTGTCTGGGCCTGGCGCCTGGCTGGGGAAACTGAGGCTCAGGGAAGGCAGCTGGTTTGCTGTGCTCTGGCCTGGGCTGGGCCCCAAGCACCGGTGAGCGAGTAATTTCCGGGGCCAGCACCACACCTCAGGCCTTGGGCCCGGCACAGACAGCGTGCCGCTGCCAGGAGTCCCCGCATCACGGAGCACCGTGCAGCTGGCCCGAGATCACAGCACGGCCGCTCGAAAGAAGCCGAGGAGGGCCTGTGCTCCTTCCTCACGTTACCACCTCCTCTGCCTGTGCCATGCAGCCCAGCCGGTCCTCCCTGCTGTGCCTGGCGGGAGGCCAGCAGCTCGGAGGCCCTTGCCTCCCTCATACCAGCCTGCCCTTCCCCGCCCCATCCCTCTCCTAGGAGGTCTGGCCTTCCAGGCTGAGACGGCGGCATGAGCAGTGTGGGCTGAGGAAGGAGGCAGGAGGGCCACGGGCAGGCTGGACTGGAGATGAGGCTCTTCTCTGGACCTGGGCACCTGCTGGTGCTGCCATGGGGAAGGCGGGCTGGCAGGAAGAATGACCCCCCCCGCTCCCCCGCAGCCCCCATCTGCCTCCCCTGAGACCCCGGACAGCCACTGAACAGCTGGTACCACAGGCTGGGGAAAGCCTTCTGCTGACAGCAGCTCACTGGGGAGCGGGTGAGGCAAGCCTGATCTTTGCCCCCTCTCCACTCTGCCCCCCCACTTTGCCCCTCTCCACTCTGTCTGATAGGAGCTCCGGGAGGCAGTCACGGTGGGGAGAAGGGGGAGGAAGGGACACTGCTGTGGGCCCCCCTCAGGCCTGCAGCTTCCTCCCATTTGGCATCGACAGACAAGACCGAGTTTGTGGAGACACTGCTTTATTCCCTCCCGTCGGAGCGGCACAGCCGGCGAGGCACTGCTCGTGGGTGAGGGAACCTCAGGCGGGGGCGCACGTGCTCGGTGCCCGCGTGCGGCCCAGGGAGCTGCGAGCGTGGGCATGGGCAGCTGCGGGGAAGCCGAGGCGAGGAGCAGCTCAGGGGCCGCGGAGGGGCCGGGCGGCCTCCTGGGCCCGAGACCGCCCCCCGGGCAGGCAGCCGCAGTGGCCATCACCCAGCAGTCACACACACACACACAACACACACACACACACACACAACACGGAGTTCACGGGGAGCAGTCACACACACACACACACACACACACACACACACAGCTCCCGGGGAGCAGTCACACACACACACACACACACACACACAGAGCTCCTGGGGAACAGTCACACACACACACACACACACACACACACACACGGAGTTCACGGGGAGCAGTCACACACACACACACACACACACACACACGGAGCTCACGGGGAGCAGTCACACACACACACACACACACACACAGAGCTCCCGGGGAGCAGTCACACACACACACACACACACAGCTCCCGGGGAGCAGTCACACACACACACACACACACACACACACACAGAGCTCCCGGGGAGCAGTCACACACACACACACACACACACACACACACAGAGCTCCCGGGGAGCAGTCACACACACACACACGGAGCTCCCGGGGAGCAGTCACACACACACACACAGAGCTCCCGGGGAGCAGTCACACACACACACACACGGAGCTCCCGGGGAGCAGTCACACACACACACACACACACACACACACACACGGAGCTCCCGGGGAGCAGTCACACACACACACACACACACACTCCCGGGAGCTCCACACACACACACACACACACACACACACACACAGACACGGAGCTCCCGGGGAGAGCATCACGACAACACACACACACACACACACACACACACACGGAGCTCCCGGGGAGCAGTCACACACACACACACACACACACACACACAGCTCCCGGGGAGCAGTCACACACACACACACACACAGCTCCCGGGCACCAGCAGCAGTCACACACACACACACACACACACACACGGAGCTCCCGGGGAGCAGTCACACACACACACACACACACACACACACACACACACGGAGCTCCCGGGGAGCAGTCACACACACACACACACACACACGGAGCTCACGGGGAGCAGTCACACACACACACACACACACACACACACACACACACACACACACACACGGAGCTCAGGGGGAGCAGCGCCTGGAAGCAGGTGGCCGGCCCTCCTCAGGTTGAGCCTGGGGAGCAGGCTGCCCAGAGAGAAGGTGAGACCACTGTGTGCGGCAGGCGTTTTGTGTTTTAGAGTGAATTCGACAACCACGGTGACAGGGCCACTCAGAGCCCACAGGCACGGGCGATCCTGGGTCTGTGTGAGGGGCCTCGGGGGACGTGTCCCAGAAGGAAAGGAGAGCCAGGGGCCTACGTCCTGGGGTCCAGGCTAGGGAGCAGCCCCTTGGTCTGAAAAACAAGCAACACCATCTGTCAGCCCAAGACTGCCCCCCCATCCCCTCCTCACCCCACCCCCGCCCCTCCCGAGAGCGGCCTCCTGCGGCCTCTGCAGTGGAGGAGAGCACCTGAGCACAGGCTATCCTGTCCGGGTCAGTGGGGCCGACTCTGACACACCACATGCCCTGAGGGATGGAGCCAGAGGTGTCTGGGCTGCCTGCAAGCACCCCCACCCCCCAGGCTCCTCGGCTCCCGGGTCTGGACTGAGGTCCCTCCACCCACTGTCCATTCTACCACTCCCCTCATTTCTCTCCCTGTGCTGCGGCCCTCCTCCCTCTGCTCCCCCCACACCTCCTCCCTCTGCCCCTCCACACCTCCTCCCTCTGCTCCCCCACACCTCACTCTGCTCCTCCACACCTCCTCCCTCTGCTCCCCCACACCTCCTCCCTCTGCTCCCCCACACCTCCTCCCTCTGCTCCTCCACACCTCCTCCCTCTGCTCCTCCACACCTCCTCCCTCTGCTCCTCCACCCCCCCTCCCTCTGCTCCCCCACACCTCCTCCCTCTGCTCCTCCACACCTCCTCCCTCTGCTCCCCCACACCTCCTCCCTCTGCTCCCCCACACCTCCCCTCCCTGCTCCTCCCACACCTCCTCCCTCTGCTCCTCCACCACACCTCCTCCCCTCTGCTCCCCACACAACTCCTCCCCTCTGCTCCCCCACAGCTCCTCCCTCTGCTCCCCCACACCTCCTCCCTCTGCTCCTCCACACCTCCTCCCTCTGCTCCCCCACACCTCCTCCCTCTGCTCCCCCACAGCTCCTCCCTCTGCTCCCCCACACCTCCCTCTGCTCCCCCACACCTCCTCTGCTCCCCCACACCGTCCACTCTGCTCCTCCACACCTCCTCCCTCTGCTCCCTCCACACCGTCCTCCCTGCTGCTCCACCACACCGCCTCCCTCTGCTCCCCCACACTCCTCCCTCTGCTCCCCCCACCCCCTCCCTCTGCTCCCCACACCTCCTCCCTCTGCTCCCCACACCTCCTCCCTCTGCTCCTCCACACCTCCTCCCTCTGGCTCCCTCCACCACCTCCTCCCTCTGCTCCCCCCCCCCTCCTCCCTCTGCTCCCCCACACCTCCTCCCTCTGCTCCCCCCACACCTCCTCCCTCTGCTCCTCCACACCTCCTCCCTCTGCTCCTCCACACCTCCTCCCTCTGCTCCTCCACACCTCCTCCCTCTGCTCCTCC